TCTCCCTCTCTCTCTCTCCCTCTCTCTCTCTCTCTATTCATCTTTTGTCATTTAAAGATGCTGACAGCAACCATACTTCTTAACATTTGCATCTGTTCACCACCTTAAAGTGTCTGCAGACGGCAACTGATGTTGTAGATGATGAAATTTGCCAACACATTTCTAAACAACATTGTGAAAGACTGGAGTGAAAGAATCCAACTGTATAATGTAGATGAAGTGAATGTAGTTATATGTGTAATATGTACATGTTTCATGTATTAGAATCAGTTGAATGTGTGATAGTCCTTATCTCTGAGGCCTTTTTCTTGTAGGTTATAGGTTTCTGCCACCCAATAGAAAGACAGAGCAGAAGAACTGAAGAGCATCTCCAGGAATGAGGCTATAAATAAAAATTTATAAATAAAAATTCAGCTTTCGGGTTCGAGCACATTCTGTAGATTAATGCTCTCTCTGCTGAAATCAATGCTGGAATCTCTCTGTCTGTGATTGATTCCACGTCAAACCAACTTACACTTAGGGCTTTAATAAAAAAGCAAAAAAAAAATGTTTTTTAAAAAATAGGAGAACAAGATAATGTACTATTTTGCATTATACATAAAGGCTTTAAGTAAAGTGTTACCATAATTTTATTTTAAAATCCTGGTTCTTGCTCTTGTACATCCATCCACCAAACCATCTGCCCACTTTTTCCAAACTGCTTATCCTGTGTAGGGATGCAGGTTGCTCTTGTACAGCTCTTGTTTATTCTACACATTGAAATAATACATCCATTTTAATGTATTTATGTCATTTAAAGGGCATTTAGTTTGGTGCTGCAGCATAGTGGTTACCCACTGAGCCATGGTGCTCATATGGGTGATATAATTTTGAGCCCAGCTCTCAATATCCTATTCTTTAAAAAAAAAAAAAAAAAAAGTAATAGAAATTTTTCAAAAACCCATGTGACCTGCTCTTTAATGAAAGAATGGAGCTGGAGCAATGTGACGTAATTGAAAGAATGCTGATTTGGTGACAGAGTTACAATGAGCCTGAAAGGAGAGAGATGAATCGAAAATAACACCACAATAGAAAGTTTAAAAAAAAGCAGCATTTATTTGAAACAGAAACATGTAACAGTATAAATGTCTTTACTGTCACTTTTCATCAATTAAATGCATCCTTGCTGAGTAAATGTATTATTATTTTTTTTTTTTTTTTTTTTTTTTTTTTTACACCAATGTTTTGAATGGTGGTGCATTAGGTTTTACACAAAAATAGCTGTTTTCAGTACTGATGATAATAAAAATAGTTTCTTCAACACGAGATCAACATATTAGAATGATTTCTGAATGATCATGTGACACTGAAGACTGGTTTAATGATGCTGAAAATTCAGCTTTGCCATCACAGAAATCAATTGCATTTTAAAACACATTAAAATAGAAAGTAAAATACCATATTTTTAAAATACAATATTACTATTTTTACTGTATTTTTTATCAAATAAATGCATCTTTGGTGAGCATAAGAGACTTCTTTCAGAAATATCGTATTATACAAGAGCTGAACTGTGTTCACGGTATATTTAATGGCTGAATGAAATTGTGATCTTGTGGAAGCAAAAGCGAACTCCTGCCCTGGGGCTGATTTGTTTAGGCAGAGTCAGTGGTCAGACACTGAATCCTCCTTTGAGGCGTGCGTTACAGTGCCCTTTCACCGGTCATACTGCCAGCCAGCAAACTGTAGCTTTCACAGAGGTCAGGCAGAAGGGACACTTACCATATGATAAAACCGCAGTCGATACGTGTTCATGCTGTGCAGTTTCCCTGCCTGTGTGTTAACCTCATGCAGGACGTGAAAGGACAGTAAGAGAATCAATAATGTTTGATCAGTGGGTGCTGTGGATGCAGGAAAAGCTTAGTACAGATCTTACTGACTGCACAATTACAATCAACCATCAGATGCCACTGCAGAAAGCAACGGAATCCAACAAGGGAGTCAAAATCAATAGAAGAGCATCGGAAAGATAAGATGGAACGTAACCAATAATTATGCTTCAGCGCTGAAAGACTGGCAGCTTAAAAATGCTCTTGTTATCTGAGCCCATTAGAAAGAAGCACTGTGGGAGTTAAAACACTTAAAACATAAATATCGGTGTTGTACAATCCGTTGCTAAAAGAATGGAAGAGGAATGTTTGCCTAAAGTGCCTTCAGATTTTGAGCCAAGTTAATAAATCAATAGTAGTTTTACAATAGTTGCATAATTGTACTTAAAAATTGAGTAATATTTCTCTTCGATCATTTGAGTTTGCCATGTTTTTTGTTTTCATCAAAAATACAGTAAAACATGTCTTTGAGGCAAGATGGAGTCCAATCTTAAGAATAATACATAATAATACCTAACTGACTATATAGTGGGCTGGATTATATGCAACTATATACGTGTTTACAAAGCATATTGATTGTCTTTTAACACGTCGTTATTTTAAAACTCTTGAAACTGTGAAAAACACTGGGGGGGGGTTCTCGCATTTTCTCTATTTTTGTAAATCTTTTCAAATATCTGCACCCCTATTGACTATCTCTGATGTGTAACTTTTATAGTATGTTCTAATAAAAAAAAATAAAAAAAGAGTTAAAAAAATACAGTGAAACAGTAACATTTTGAAATATTATAAGCACTTTCCCATCAAATATTATGAAATTGAAATAATATTGCAATTTAAAGTAAAACAGTCTATTTAAAAGTGTGTCTTCAGTGTCACATGATCATTCTAATATGCTGTTTTGCTGCTCAAAAAACATTTCTTATTAGTATTAATGTTGAAAACAGTTGTGCTGCATAATCTAATTGGAGAAACCCTGAATACAAAACAAAATTTAAAAAAAAGAAAAAGAAAACACTAATAAAGAATAATAAAATAAAATAAATATTTGTAAGTTTGGTTTTGGTGATACTGTAGTGACATTTATGATTGAATCAATTGTTTTGTGATATTGGTTACTTTAGAGACATTATTAATATAATAAAATGTTTAATAATAAACAGTCAGTCAATCAATAAATAATCAATAAATTGACTTGGCAGAATTTTGGTTGAGCTTTTTGTCTTTTGTTGATTTAGATCACAGCTGAGGCCATCCTGCGACTCGCTACAGATCCCGTTCTTCCATTTTACCCTTTGGATATCGCTCTTGATGTTCAGAACAAACTCAGAGGTAAGAATGCACCTTTGAAAACCTATTTTACATTCTTAATGAATTTATAACAAAAGTACAGTATGTTGGCAGAACTTCTGGAAGTTTCAGGCTGTTACACTGTGTCAGTCCTGACTCCTCCCATAAAGATGATTTACGCAGAGATCATCTGTTTGGGTGAACCTATCGATCTTCCATTCACAGTTTAAAGGGGCGCTGAATGAATGACCTTGATTTCTGCATTTGTAAAATTCAAATTGGTGCCAGCCATTTCTCGGCTCAGATCAAATGGGCTTATAAGCTTCAGACCTGATTGGTCATCACTCTGGCACTTTTCATAAAGAGCTTTACCTTAGATCGGGAACAAAAAGGGAGAAAATTCCCACAAGAGGAAAACGCTTTATACTTTCTACTTCATCAGAGCCAAAGAAACCCAGAGGTAGTAATTAACTTTTGACAGGCTTTTATTTCCAAATGTTCTCTACATTTTCAAAGACTTGCAGAATTGGATTTCAGAGATTCAAATAACATTAAATGATTATACAGTGGCTTGCAGGTATGCCGTTTTTCACCTCTGCAGAGACATTGAGGGCTTCTCCTCTGAATCTGTTCTGGCTCTCTGCTGGAGAGATGCGCCTTTGTGTTTAAATATTCATGAACACAGAGAAGAGGACAGGTGAGAAATGTAATTGCCACATAATCCTGCCACATGAAGACAGACTGCAAAGCCCTTAATGCTGTGCAGTATTGATATTTCATCAGACACGCGCCAAACACTCGTGTCCGATCTTTTGTTTTACTGTCTCGGCTGCAGCGGGGCAGAAAGACTGAGGCATTGCTCGCCTGAGAAAATCCCACAGATGCTTCGTGAAGGCATTTTCACTGTCACTGTTTGGGATGGAAAACATCCCGAATATTTTTTTACGTATTGACGCTTCCAGCTGTTTCCTGACAGATATACACTAATGTGAAGTCTCCTCCAGATGTCAATGTTGAGTTAAACCTTGTGATCTCATTGTACTCAATACCTTTGTCAGGTATATTAAAAATAAAAGCACATTCAAGTGGCTAGAAGCATAACTGGAATTCCCAGACCATAATATATATTTGCACACCATTGTTCAGAAGTTTTATATTTTTTATATGAAGTAATGGCTGATATCAATAAATCACATTTTAAAATAAATTCATATAGATAGTTTAAAAAATCTTCAATTGTAATTTTTCACAATATTACTGTTTTTTTACTGTATTTTTGATCAAATATATCCAGTCTTTGTAAGAGTCTTTAAAAACATTTCACTTAAACTATTATTATTATTATTATTATTATTATTATTATTATACATACCTTGTTTTTGCATACACCATCAGTCAGTTGGGATTTTCTTTCTTTATTACAATTTTCCACATTTTAAAATAATAGTAAATTCATCAAATGTATAATTGTTATATGTTAAATTAATACAAATATGGAATTATGGAATTAGGAATTATGCAATGACAAAAAGAGTTTAAACTATCAAATGATTAAAAAGTCTTATATTATATTTTACCTGCTTTCATGTATCCCGGCTTGGACACATGTTGACCGATATTAAAATCTACTACAATTTTCAACATAAATAATAATAACAACAATAACAACAAAATTCAGTACAAACAGCACAGTGTCCAAATGTTTAATTTGTAGCGTATAGAGATGATGGATGCTTGGTGGCTAGGACATTCTCTCTCTCTTTCCTCATGCTGTGTTATGGTTGGAGTTTCAGAGACATGAAAATTACAGTATTCATGAGGAATAATGAATCGAGTGAGATCAAAGAGTCATGGCTAATTGAAACCTTTGAGATCTTTTGTTCCCTTCAGATTCAGACAGCTCATTGATGTTCAGATTATTTTAGAATGACTCGGCAGAGTGAAGAATGAAGACTGCCAGACATCTGAAATCATACAAGTTGATCACTCACTGGAAGATAACTTTATAACAAGACTCTTATTGGTGTTGGGAAGCTACATTAAAACTGTAGTTGCCACTCTTAAAACTCTTTTGAGAAAGTTAGCAACAACAAACTACTAAAAAAATTAGCTAACATTTATACTGTAAGGGAGTATTTTTTTAAAGTGTTATAATTGAACTAGTGCAGCTTTCTTTGGATTTAAAATTAAAAATAATGTGTCATATGCTTTGAAGTGAAAAACTTAAATGTGTTGGAAATTTCTGTTAGCAGAGGAGCTGTTTCTCCTTCTGTTCATCATAAAATGCACAAATACTGCAATACACAAGCAGTCACAGACATTGTTCAGTCGCAGCACTCATTCAAACATCATGTGGAGTTATTTCACTCCACTAAATAACCATTAAGCTAATTGTTTGTTATATTTTTGTTGCATTTGATATAACTTTAAATTAGCTGTTAGATATTAAGCGCTAGCGTTAGTTCTGGCAGGTCACGTGAGTCAAGCTTGCATCAGCTGATTCTCAGCTGATCACATCTACCTATAGGAATACGACACCTATAGCAGCATTCCTATATAAGCTCTATTCAGTATTATTCAGCAGCTTTTCAGCTTGCTCAGGAGCAAATGACCCTCCTCCATCCCCAGCTCCTCCTTTCGCCACAGTCAGGACTTGGCTTTCTGATATTCCTTGCTAATCAGACTCCTTTATCTTGAATAAAGTGTTACACTTAAATATCATTAAAATACATTAATGATATCTGCCTTGTTCTGTTCTGTTAACCCTAGGGGGGTTATTATTGCTGCTCTCCCTGCTCATTCATGACAGGCTGCATGGATGGGCAGGGAATTTTTTGCCCAGAAAAGAACCATACCGCCAAACCAAACTTTATGCTAAGTATCTATCATTTTGACGATAGTGGTCCTGACAGAAATCATGTTGGATGTCTAATATAATACATACAAATACATAAACAAAAGCTTTGATGATGCATTCTAATTCTAAATATAAATTACTGTAATTACCCATTGTATCCTCAGAAATCACTAAAACTTTCTATTTAATATTGTACAAACTGAAACTGTGCTTTTTTTCTGGAGACTTGCTCACCAATGGATCCTCTGTAGTGAATGGGTGTTCTCAGAATGAGAGTCCAAACAGCTGATAAAAACATCACAATAATCCACACCACTTTAGTCTATCAGTTAACATGAGATGTTTTAACTTTAAATCATTGCTTCTGACTAAAATACGAGTCCTCTATACATAATGTTATTTTCTGTAGTGCAAAAGTCATCTTGTCTGAATCAGGAAAGAAATATGCACAGATCAAACGCTGTTTACAAGTGAAAATAGTCCTAAAAAATATGTACTTTATGGATTTTGAGGAGAGAGGACAGCAGGGGATGGGCTTTTTCACTAGAGGAAGCGTTATTATGGATTAGGCACTCGTATTTTAGCCAGAAGTGAAGGTTTAAAGTTAAAGCACCTTAATTATAGATTTGTTTCATACAAACATTTCACAAGATGGATTGGAGTCATGCGAATTACTGTACTTGTGGATTATTGTGATGTTTTATCAACTGTTTGGACTCTCATTCTGGCGGCACCCATTTGCTGCAGATGATCCATTGGTGAGCGAGTTATGTAATGCTAAATTTCTCCATATCTGTTCCAATTAAGAAATAAACTCATCAAGATCTTGGATGGCCTGATGGTAATTTTTGAGTGAACTATTCCTTTTAGATTTTAATGTTTTGTTTTGTTTTTTCTTCCAATTAACTGACAGCCTGCTTTAGCTGTTTTATAAGTTTACACAGTAAAATCCTTTCTGGAAAAGCTGTCTTTGAATTCATCTTGTTTAAAGCCCCACTGCTACTGCCAGATGTTTTGGGGGATGTTGCATCACATCTCACACTGTTTTTTTAAGCTTTTGCCACAAACATTGCAAAAGTGTGTCAATAGTCAACTTTTAAAAAATAATCTTGAGAACGCTGCATTCCTTTGTGCTCCGTCTCGCTGTTTATAAACGGCCACAAAAGAAAAGCATTTGCATTATGCACACACACACACACACACACACACACACACACACATAGATATTGATATATCAAATAATATGTCAGTTTAAAATAGAGTAACAATCTATGTGTTAATTTCATGCTTGCATGTGTGTCTTGTGTGTGTCTGGTATGATATTACTATAGTTGCTTTCCCACATCTCTCTTGTCTGAAGCCCTTGGCACAAACATGGAACATTGAAGTGATATGCATTTCGTCATTTGTGAAATTGTAAACCTCGGTTGAGTTGGTGACAGTTTCACTGGGTCTTCTGCTGTCTGTATTACAGTGAGTGATGAGTTACAGCAGTCCTACTGCAGGGAGTGCTTTTCATTCTGCAGAGAAAGACAAAGAAGGAGACAGTGTGTGTGTTCAAGTTTGTAGAAAAGTTTTTTTTTTTCTGTTTACTTAAAAGTTTTGCATATCCTCCGAAGAATCTATATTCATAAACATATTCTCCAATGATACCCATCACTCAGGGGGTGTTTAGCCTTTTTTAGGGCCCCAAGCAAAGTTGGGATTTGAGCTGCTAGAAATACCTGGTGGAAATTACACTGGAAATCATCATTGTTGAGTCAGATTTGAAACTTTGTGAAAGCCCTGTGGAATTTGATTTTGTAGAATTTGATTTAACAGAGTTATCCATTATTGAACTTTATTTAACATATAACCACATTCTAAGGCAGTATCACATAATTTGCTTACAAGACAATCCCATGAAGCATTGCGCCAATCTTAGTGATTTAAAAATAAATAAATTAAGAAATAAAAATCAATCAATCAATCAGTCAATACAAATTTAAGATGACCGACAAGGCAGAAAATATTGTAAGTATTAACTAATAAAATAACACAC